AGGGCGGTAAAACAGGTTAGGGGTGAGGACCATGACGGAAGCGATCACCGGGAGCGCCAAGGTGTAGTCCTCTGCGAGAAACGGGGGTGACGCTGGGGAAGGGGGTCCATACCGGCCAAGGGCTCCGGCGCCGGGGGTTCTGCTTGAAGCCCGGCCCGGGAAGAGGACCTAACAGAAGCCGGGAAGAATCCGCGAAGGAAGATCGCAACCCCGAGCACCTCAACTGCCACGCAAATGGCAGCGAAAGCCCCAGAACCCAGCCGCATCTCGTCTGTTCACTGGGCAGAAAGGCCGGTGGTAACTCCACCCGAAGCCTAGCCAAGAAGTACCCAGACCGGACCAAAGCGGAGAGGCACGACAACCGCGCTCCCCATACGTCACCTCCGCCCGCGCGCCGGAAGTGCGCACGGGGCGACCTGGCTCCGACCCCCGAGTCTCGGGCACGCTTCCCCGCGGGCATCCGGGTCTGCGCCCCAACCCGGCGAGGTCTATCTCTGACAGTTTTTAGCTGCTTGTGCTTCCTTTTCTTTTTTAAATTTATTAGTATTTATGCTTGTAGTAATGTATATAATATTCACATTCCTTTTGTGGAGTTGGTGTACGTGCATACCACATCTTAATTGCTTTTTCTATCCATTCCATCCATCTCTTTGAGAAAGATCTATCTCCCTACTTCCTGTTGTCTTTTATTTTGTTCTTTATTTATATTTTGGGTTCCTCACATAGGAAAAACCATGCAGTATTTAAATTTGTGTGTCTGATCTATTTCACTTAACATTATGGTCTCGAGGTGCATCTGTTTTTCTACAAATGACTCGTTTATCTTATTGAGGCCAGCGGAGTACACCATTTTGTGTAAATACTTTAGCCATTCACCTTTTAACGGACTTACAGGCCACTTCCAAGATTTATCTATTATGAATTGTGCTGCTATAAACATGGGTATGCATGTATCACTGTAATATGATGTCTTTAACTCTTCTGAGAAGATGCCTAGAAGGGAATAGCTGACTCAAATGGAGTTTCTAATTTTAATTTTTTGAAGACTCTACATACTGATTACCATAGAGGTTTTACTAGTTTACATTCCCACCAATAATATAGAAGGGCTCTTTTCCCGGCACTCTTGTCAGCATTTTCCATTATTTGACTTTTTTATAATAACCATTCTTTCCGGAATAAGGTAGAATTTCATTGCTGTTTTAATTTGCATTTTTCTAATGGCCAGTGGCGTTGAATATTTCTTCATGTATTTACTGGCTATTTGTACTTTTTCTGTGAAGTCTCTATTCTTTAATTTGCCATTTTTCAGGACACATTTAATTTAATATCAAAAGTAAAAGGCCAAAATACAATGAAGGAACACATTCTCCCGTTTACATCAAACATAATGCTTTTTTAACACGGTCCTGTTGAATGGGGTGGGGGTTTCATAAAGTTTGATACTGAAACAAAACAATGCAGTGAGTCTCATCAAAGCTAATAGTGCTATATAACCTATTTGTGAAATGAATATTTATAGTGCCTAAAAAAGTTTAAGCCTAAATTTTATCCCATATTTTCACATTTGTACAGTCCTTCATTAAGATTATCTACAGTTTTCATAACCATCAAACAACAAACCATTGATTAAGACCATGTTGATTTAGGGTTCATTAAATAACACAGAGCCCTAAGCTAAAAGGTTAAATATATGTACACTTGTACTGACATCTATTATTTCCCTCATTACTACGAAAGTTGATTCTTAGTAAATAAACTGACATTTGAGTTTTTTAAATTAAACTTACATTTTAGATGTACATAATGATCACATTCATCATAGGGAATTTATACCTGTATATGATATATCGTGATTCTTTTTTCCCATTCCCTACCCTCCCTTCAGTCCTTCTTCCACTCCTTATTCACAAAAGCTCGGTTTCCATTTTATCCTTCTTGTTTTTTCTTTCCCCTTTCCTCCTCCCCCCTCCCCAGTTCCCCTTCTCCTTTGAGCATTTTCTTCCTATTCACAATATCTATTATACATTTTGGTCCTTATTTACACTTTTTTCCTCACATTAGAGAAACAATGTAATGTTTCACAAGTGTCTGGTTTATTTCACTTAATAATAAGGTCCTAAGTGCATTCATTTAGCTATAAATATCTCATGTTTATCTTTCTTCATGGTTGAGCAGTACTTCATTGTATAAAAAACCCCCACATTTTCTTTATCCATTCATCAGTTTATGGGCATTTAGGCTGTTTCCAACACTTAGCTATTACAAACTGTGCCACTCTAAACATGGGTGTGCATGTATCACTGTGGTATAATGCTTTTAATTCTTTTGGGAAGATACCAAGAAGGGGAATACTGGGTCAAGTGGACCCTCTAGTTTCAGTTTTTTGAAAACTCTCCACACTGGTTTCCACAGTGGTTGCACCAGTCTACACTCACACCAACAGTGGAGAAGACTTCCTTTTTCACCACAGCCCCGTGTCATTTGAGTTTTGACCCAGAAGTTCAACAACAATCATGAATTGCATAATCTTATTGGCAAAACTGATATACAGTGTTTCTTAAGTCGCTATGCTGAGATTAAGAGTAATGCATATTTTGATTTTACATTTTACTAGAATGTTACATATTCAGTTCATGATTTAAACTCTGTAGGTTTTCAGTCCTCCAAACTGTCTGAATACACAGTGTACCACAGACTAAAGACTATTTCTCTATTTTCTTCTAGAAGAAACATTTCCCAAGTGTCTACACCTTATAGAAGGGAAATTTTTTAAAAGGTGACCTCTTCTTTGGTATAGTCTAATGATATCAGGCCTCTGAAGCAAGGGCAAGGGGAAGAGAAAAAAGCTGAAACACAAGGTTCATCAGCTAAGTATTACATTAACCATTACAAGCTAGACAGTATGAGACTTTTTTTTTTTTGCTAAAAAAGTCTGAATCTTGGTGTGAAAATGAATATTGGCTGTCCTACATGTTTCTTGTAGTGGGACTGTCTGAGAAATTTTGACTGGTGAATATGATTTATCTATCAGGTGTAAATTTCAAGACACTTAGTTCATTTTGGACTTGTTCTAGTTTGGTTTTAGTCTGTTCAATTCACTTTTCATTTTTAGGAAAAACAAATGGGTCACCGGGTCTACCATTGTTGATCTCAGTTGAGTCACTCTTGGCTGCTGGACTTACTTGAGGTGTTGGATTTGAGTAGTGCCCACTTGTCCTTTGGTGGCTAATCACATTTAAGGGTTGTTTTCCCTGTGTTCAAAGTCTTGCTGTTGTTGCTTTAGCTTTTCTTCAGACTCTCTTAAGCCAGTTGCATCATATGAGTTAAGATCTATGTACTAGCCCTCTAAAGCTTGAACATATTCTTCATATTGTTTCTATCTTAGAACTAACTCATCTCCTGCCATATTTTGAAGCTGTTTCACTCAGTAAAAACTTTTTGGGAAGAGGTTCTTCATTGATCACCTTGAATCCTCTGTAGATCCCTGTGGTGTGGGTACCACCAGTCACCCAGTTTGAGGCCCCACTGCCCACCACTGGACCTGCCACACTCCTTCCCACTGAAGCCCAGCACTTCTCTTTATTTTGGGGTCTTGATTTCACAAAATCCACTTGCTTGTTTTTTTATTCTTTTGTTTGGGGGTGTTCTAATATTTTTGATTTCTTTATATACTCTCGACATTTGTCCTCTCTGATAAATAAATGGCAAAAAATTTTCCCATTCTGCAAATTGTGTTTTCACTGTATTGATCATTTCTTTTCATGTGCAGAAGCTTTTTAATTTAATATGATCCCATTTATTGATTCTTGGTACTAGTTCCTGCACAGCGGGGGTTCTGTTCAGAGTCCTTGCCTATGCTATGACTTCAGGAGTTTTACCTATTTTATCTTCCAGAAAGTAAAGTGTTTCTGTTTTAACAGTTAGTTATTTGATCTGTTTAAATTTTAGTTTAGTATGTTCTGAGAGATAGGAGTCTAGAATCAATCTTTTGCATGCAGATGGCCAGTTTTCTAGCACCATTTATTTATTAAAGAGGATATCGCTCTTCTAGTGCATGTTTTTTGGTCTCTTTGTCAAAGATAAAAAGTAGAATGTGCTTGGTATTGTTTCTGCATCTGCTATTCTGTTCCATTGAGCCTCATGTCAATTTTTGTTCTAGTACCATGTTATTTTTTTAATCACAGTAGCTTTGTAGTATAACTTGAAGTCCAGAATGAGGATGTCTCCTGCTTTGCTCTTCTTACCCAAGATTGCTTTTGCTATTCTGGATCTCTTTTAATTTTATATGGATTTTACAGCTTTTTTTTCAGTTCTGTAAAGAATGCTGTTGGTGTTTTTATTGAGATTGTGTATATCAATTTTGGAAGTGTGGCCGTTTTGGCTATATTGGTCCTGCCTATCCAGGAACAAGAGATATCTTTCCATTTTCTGGTGTTCTCTTCAATTTCCTTTTTCAGAGTGCTATAGTTTTCATTGTAGAGGTCTTTCACTTCCTTAGTTAGGTTAATGCCTAAGCATTTAATTTTTATAGGTGCTATTGTGAATGATATGTTTTTCCTAATTTCTTTCTCAATCGGTTCATTATTAGTGTACCAGAATGCTATTGATTTTTGTGTGTAAGCTTTGTATCCTTCAACATTGCTGAATTTGATTATTAATTCTAGAGTATTTTGGTGAGTTTTTGACTTCTTCTTTTCTGATACATATCCATTTATTTCTTTTTCTTACCTAATTGCCCTTGCTAATATTTTGAGTACTATGTTGATCAGGAGTGGTGATAGTGGTTATCCTTGACTTGCTCCTGATTGTAGAGCAAAAGCTTTCATTTTTTTGGCTTTTGATATGGCAGTAGGTTTGTCATAAATGGCTTTTATCAGATTGAGGCAAAGTCTTTCTCTACCTATTTTCTGTACTTTTTAAAATAAAAAAGGATGTTAGATTTTTATCAAAGGCCTTCTCTGTGTCTTTTGAGATTATCATGTGACTTTTCCTCCTTGCTTTTGTTTCTATGACATATTACATTTATTGATTCCCATATGTTGAACCATCTCCTTACATTCCTGGGATGAATCCTGCTTGGTCATACGGTATGACCTTTTAATAATTTGTTGCATGCTGTTTTCTAGTACTGTATTAAAGATTATTGCTTTTATGTTCATTAAAGAGATTGGCTTATTGTTTTCTTTTTTAGTTGTGTCCTTGTCTAGTTTTGGAATCAGATTAGTGCTAGCTCCAGGAATGACATTAGGAATAATCCTTCTGTTTCAATTTCATTAAACAACTTGAGGAGTATTGGTGTTAAATATTATCTGAAGTTGTTGTAGAATTTCACAATGAATCCATCTGGACCTGGGTTTTCATTAGTTGGCACA